CTGCGGAGCAGCGGGTCCTGCGCGCGCAGCGGGTGGTTCAGGCTCCCGCTGCCCTTTGATGCGCCATTACCCTGGTTGCTCTCCCCACGGCTAGCCTAGGGGCAGGCAGCAGGCACCCAGTGGCACACCAGCGTCCCCAGCTCTCTCTGATGAAGCACTGCTGAAAGATCAAAAAAAACCTGTCCTCCCTGATGCCTCTTCTGGAAACAACGCTTCTTCTCAGGTGATCTTTGCTCGGCTCAGGGGATGCTCTAATGCCTTGTGCACGCAGTAACTGGGTGCTCCCTGGACCAGCTGCAGAGGAGCCAGGTGCTGGGCTCCACGCGCTACAGATGTTTCGTCATTATTTCCTTCTGCTGCAACTGGGCAGAAGGGGCTAACAGAAGAACCATGATGTACCTCCAGCTGGCATGGCCCATCCACCAGACTCCCTCCAGAATGGTCTGCCCTCTCCGAAACATATGCTGCCAGTAAACTTAACAAAATCTAGACATGTGGAATAATTGGCCATAATGAGAAAACAACCTGAAAAGAAGTGAAAGGGTGACTGTTTCAAAGAAAGTGAGGGAGCAGATTCCTGGAGTGATGGGGCCGACCTGCAGAATCAGAGGCTGCAGCAGACAGCGTGAAATGTGGGGAACTGGCTCCAGATGTCGAATCGCAGCTCCTGCCATCCGGAGGTTGTGGGGATCTGCTTCTGGGGCAGGAGAGCCAACGCAAAACCAGACTTCTAGTCAAATAGCACCAAAGAAAACACATTAAATGGCAAATGCAAACACAGAGTATCCATCGAGCCTAAACCAGAAGCATCTTGAATTCAATCAGATGTTTCTCTGTAAGACAGGAGGAAATCTGGGCTAAAACCCAGGTGGAAACAATGCATTTAATGTATCCAAAGGCCCAGGGGCAATTTTCTTCCACAACTCCTGGTCCTGCTCAGCTCTGCAGGGCTGCTGACCTGAGGATGTACAAATCGGGCCCTGACACTAGGGAAGGAGGTGAGAGCCTTTGGGCAGGTGCACTTGGCCGCGGCTCTCATGAAGCCGCTCCTGGCCACAGCCTGCATGGGTGGAAACAATGCATTTAATGTATCCAAAGGCCCAGGGGCAATTTTCTTCCACAACTCCTGGTCCTGCTCAGCTCTGCAGGGCTGCTGACCTGAGGATGTACAAATCGGGCCCTGACACTAGGGAAGGAGGTGAGAGCCTTTGGGCAGGTGCACTTGGCCGCGGCTCTCATGAAGCCGCTCCTGGCCACAGCCTGCATGCTCGCTTGGGTGGCTCTGACCTCAGGTCGGACCTCAGGCGGGCCCCCCCCCCGCCCCCCATGGCCAAGGGCATTGGGGGCTGGCTGGGATGGAGATCGGAAGTCAGCAGGAGGAGGATGCAGCCTTGGCTGGTGCTTCCCCTGGAGACAAGACAAGTGAGGGATAAAGCTGCAGTGAGAACAAAAATAGAAGGCACTCCAGGCCTTGCTGAGGCAACCAGTGTTTTGCATCTGCCTGTGCACACAACTCGTCTGCTATGCACACCTTGTTATCCTCTTAATGTCTCCTCCACAGCTCTTCAGGAAAAGAAGTGACAGTAATTCAGCAACATTTTCTTGCAGAAAGGTTTGAGGGCTATTAGCACTGATGACTTTGTCTCCTGAACAGGACAGCCAGCAGGGACAGCTCACCTTTTGGGAGTGGAGATGTTTCTGCTAATAAAGACCATGCAAACAATATTGCATGTGGCTGCCCCCTCCAGCTGCTCCATGCTGTCCAGTTTGCCTTTCGTCTTCCTTTCTTCTTGCCCGCTGCTGTCCTGATCCTCTGATAATTTCTCCGAGCTGGTCTACAACAGTCCTGCCACCAGTTGCTCGCCATGCGCTGCTGTCTGCAGCTCTGCTGAGCGGCTGTGCCAAGGACTCCGCTCCTCCAGCCGGCCTGGCACGATCCCAGCGACGATGTGCAAAGCCAATGCGTTCCACCCGACTAATGAGAGTCTCTCCCAAAAGGCCCCTGGAAAGTCAGCATTTTCAAGTGTCTACAGGACACAGCTCATAGCATGAAGAGAACTGACCACATGGCAAACGAAAGTCGAACAGCTTCTCTTGACACCTTGCCTTCTCTTCTACTCTTCCTTTGTCTTCCCCTCCAGAGAAAATCTTGCTCTTTGTCATCAACACAAAAGGCAGGAGGGTCCATAAGAGAAGGATTTGGCTTCAAGTCTTAATCTCTCCTCCTTTGCAATTTCTCTTTCCACCTCTGTTTGTGTTTGCAAGCCCGGTCTCCCCAGTGGAGATCTTCTAAACACACGCTCTCATTTGCTGGCCGAATACTGCAAAGTGGCCAAGTCCACTTTCTTTGTGGACAAGCAGAAGTATATGCAGATGCAAAGCCAGGACAGGTCAGAGCAATATTCAGAGAACAGCCCCTGTCCCTTTGCAAAATAAAGGAAATGGAAGTTCTTCCTCCAGTGCAGCACCATCAGCAAGCAAGCATAGGGCTCGCCACACAGACGGTCCTCTCCATAAGGAAGAATATTTTATCACGGCTGGGGGGGAGGAGGGGGATGAGGCAAGCCAATGGATTTGCATGCGGTCACTCAACACACGGTCCCCAGGAACAGGAAGAGCACCTCCTACATCCGAGAGCGGGGCTCAACCCGCAAACCATGCCCCTGCCTTGGATGCCAGAAGAACCTAGCGAGGGCAGAGAGCGGGTAAGACGGCCGTTGCCCGTGGGGGCTTCAGCAGAGGGGACCATGACAATTTGTGCTTACTGAGCTACCTACACTGTGGATCCACCCCGAGAAGATCACATTTGCAGGCAAAAATAGCATCTCAAAGACAGCACAAATGCACTTCTGGCAGGCAGCAGGGCTTTCTCTGGGCTGGCCACCTCAGGACTGCCAGGTGACTTGGGGGGTTCCCTATGCGAGGGGCAGGAGCTGGCCCGGCATCCAGGAAGAGCTGGGTCGCTTCGGAGGTTTTTTTACTGTAGACTCCATTTGCACTGGAAGGAAAACAATCTTTCCTTCCTTTTGTATTATTGTTACAATTTGAGAGCATTTCCAGGCAGAATACTTCAGATGCCTGCTGAGCGTTATCACTGCCATAATTACAAAGTCAAATGCAATCATTAAAACAACATCTTCCCTCTCCCAGCCGAGATTATTCCTTCCCCCCGAAACAACACCGATTGGAATTGCTGTCAGGTGCCACAGACGGCGATGGCGCGTGAGCGCGCGTTTGCTGTCGTCACCTAACACGAGGCCCCGCTCTGCATCAAACACGGCTCTCCCGAGGGCCAGCCACGTGACCTGTCTCCAAAGACGGCCAGAATGTAAAACTCCTGCTGGAGCTCAAACCCAAAGTGTTTAACCACTAGCTCGACCTTCACCTTCTGTCTTCTGCCTGCTCTTATTACGGCACGCACAGGCAGAGGCGATGCTGGGAACAAGCTTAAAATTGCTTCATTCGCTTTCATTAGGGCTGGCAGTCAGTGGGGCCAGGGCACCTGCGTGTCAACTGCAAGACGCACAGCGCGTCAGGGAGTAAAGCAAGCGGACGAGGCGGGAAGGAACAACCAAAGGATGGGGAGTAATGAAGGGACAAAGAACTTATTTCCGTGCCAGTGAGTAACCTCAAACCACAGTGTCCCAGAGAGTTAAATGCTCTAGGCAGCTCCCAGGAGAGAATTCAGCTCAGAGGAATTTGAAAGCTTGGGTGAGTGCCCAGAGCCTTACCCTGATGTTGTCCTGCCAGTGGTGAGCCTTCTGGAACTTCTCTGCCGCGTTAGCAAGTCTCTGCAAAGAAAGCAAGAGAGCAAGAGTGAGCCCAGATGCGCTGTACTCCGATGCAAGATGGGCATTGCCCATTTCTACCCCATCTCTTCCCAGGCAGGTGAGTTACCTGGGACCAGGGCACCAGCAAATGCTGGGGGAACTCCAGCAGCGGGTCTATAACCTGAGTGGGAAAGCTGGGATATTTGGTAGCAGCCGCAATAGGTACATCTCCAGGGTGTGTAACGCACAGCCAGGATCCTGTCTGGATACTACGGTGCAGATGTTAAACCCATCAAGGGAATGAAACCCTCAGGTACCCTTGAACCCCTTCCCACCTTCAGGGGCTGTTAAAAGCCCTCTCATCTTGCCTGTAGCAGCAGGAGGAAAGAACCAAATCTCTCACCAACCCCGCGCAGGGGACCAAGGCCTGGGAACGGATTTACCAGGCACATGGGGCTGTGCTTTCTGTTTGCTTGCCTCCACCTTTCTCAAAGCGAGCAAGCATCTCCAAAGGGATTGTTGCCACTTGAATTCAATGAGGTCTAAGCTATCGCAGCTCAGCTGCTGCCCCATTTAGCGGTGGAACCGGTCAGGCTCTTATTTGCTGTGTGGGCCAAGAGCCGAACTCAGTTCTTGCCCCCATTAACCCTTCTGGGTGCCCACCTCGTCGTTCACCTTGCCACAGGGCCAGAAGGTAGGCAGCTCCGCAGCGCCGAGCCCACCTGCAATGCACCAGCTCCTCCCGGGAAGCTGCTGAACGGCGCGAGGAAGCAGGTAGGAGAGCTCAGCCGCTCTGCCTCTAATTGCTGACTGCAGTGGGAGGTGCCCGGGCTGAGGTAGCATTTAAAGGCAGCCTGACAAAGTCTCATCAAGGGTTGGGGTGAGCACAGGCACTGTCTTCTCCCACTGAAACGCATGAGGCTTCAAAGGAGCCCAAACCGTCTCTATCCAGGGCAGAGGGTTGGAGACGAGCGCTGGCTCTGGAGGCGTCATGCAGCGTGGGGTGGGCTGGTGCCGCCCTCGCTGGGCTTGGGCTCAGCTGGGAGAGCACTCGCTAGCACCAGCCAAGGACGACTAGAGCAGGACTTTCAAGAGCTACATGGGCTTCAAGTTGTTATCTGCCTGCAGGCAGCTGTCAACCTCACACCTCCTCCTCAGCCCTCACAGGCTCCCTTTCTGCCATGTTTCCACCCGGTAATGACTTCTTCCTCTCCAAAGCTATTTTGCAGTGCCCCCATGCTAGTGGAAAAGCAAGGTCCTGTGCAAGCAGTGACCGGGGAGGTGGCCTTTTAATTGAGCCAAAGGGGATAAACGGCAAGAGCTCCAGACTTTCCAACAGGACCAATTCAGCATTGCTAAGCAAATTAAAGCCAGAGCAAAATAAACAACGCAGACTGTTCCCCCCTATCCCCTAACCAAGCCCAGGCAGCAGCGATCGTGGCAGGGGCTGCAGCAAAACACCTGGGCTCCCCAGAGGTGCCACCTGCAGTGGTGCCCAGAGACGGACGCCCCTGCCCGCTCGCACGGGCACGGTGCTTATCCTGGCGGCCTTGTAAAATCAGGCACACCCCACTAGCTCCCAACCGGCCGTCGGCTTGACAAGGTTTCTGGGGAATACACGCCACAGAGATCTGAGCTCCCATTTGGGCGCTAAGTGGCTAATCTGTACTGGGTTAATTAGCCATGAGGCTACCAAAGCAGTCATGTCCCGGGAAGGCTCCCCAGCGAGTTAATGGTTCGTGGGGAAGCCCATCAAGGGAAGATTTGTCTTACTGCAGGCACTGCTGCATCGCTAATTCCTTACAGTCTTTCCTTGGGCAACACTGTCATTGGCTTGTCCCTGAAAATAGGCCTCTTTTCTCTGTGCACCAGCACCAGCCTGGAGAGGAGGGGTGCATCTCCCAGGTCTTCGCCAGGACTGAACCCGCAGGATGAGCAGCACTGGGATGGGGGAACAGAACTGAGACCTCACCCTCCTCTCCAGGGCCAGCCTGGTCCCCAGCTGCCCATCACCCCGCTGGCTGTGCCATGCTGCTGGGAGCAGCAGCCAAGCCAGACCCAAGTCCATGGGAAGTGGGAAGATCCTGGCATTAATAATTCATTGTGTTAATACACAAGATCAGGTGCAACGGTGCTCACGGTGATTGCGCTGGCTTTAACGCATCTGCCAGGGCTCTCCGTACGCCTCATCAGCAAGGTTTCAAACACGGTTGCTAATCAGCTAAGGTTAATTTTGTCCCCCTAGACTCCTGCCCTGCCCACGGAAGCGCGCAGCTCTCCTCTTGGGTTTTTTTCTGTAGGATCTTGCTTGTTCTGCCCAATTCAAAGACAAGTGCTGGCAATGTGTGCCAGCCTTTGCATGTCAGGCTGGCGATAGCTACCTGATGGACAGCTCAGTGGCCTCCTGGGCCAAAGGGGAGTTAGACAAGCCCAAAGCATTGCCTGCCTGGGGAGTGCAGCCCAGATGCATCTGTGACTCCCTCTGCTACTGCACACCCAGCTGCAACACGGCATGCTGCACCTCAACCGGGGTCTCAGCACCTCTGAAAAAACGAGGGTGGCAGCGAGAGCAACAGTCTTCATGGGGCAGGGCTTTTCTTGAGCATGGGCTCCCTGGCATGCTGAGGATCGTGGGGCCCTGGTCCTTGGACATGCTTAGGAGGAACCAGGTAGAGAAACAGCACTATCCTGGGCATTACCAGTGGAATCAAGGGCGCTGCAGGAATGGGGCTGGGCAGGGAAGAGTTGCACATGCCACTGCGGTGACTTCTGCAAGAGGGCAGAAGTTCAGCCGAGGCTCCTGCCGCGCACCAAGGCCACGCTGCGGCTACAGACACCTGCGACCGTCACGTTGGCCCGTGCAAAAACCCAAGCGGTTGAAGCAGGGCACGGGGCAATAGAGATTGTGCTCTGATACAGCAGCGTTAATACCCTGCTGTTATCAATTCCTCTGGCGCTGCTGGAAGCCCACAGGAATGCAAACCGGTTCAGCTCCTCCTAGCGGACGCGGCACACACGACACGAGAGTGGTTAGCGATCACTGCGTTGGGTGATGCAGAAAGCGGGGCTTCGGCGAGAAGATAAGAAGCACCAAGCCTGTCTTCCTCAAGCAACCGGAGAGCTGGATCCCCAAAATAAGGCCCAAAGGCTTTGTGGTGCCCCTGCCCTGCGCTCGCAGAGCCTCGCTTGGCCCCGCTGCCCCACCTGCCCCCGTCTGCCTGCAACGCATCCACAGGGCAACTCCGACAGCGAAACGGGGTGCACGTGGCAGCACCCAACACCAGCACCATGGAGGCACCAGGGCCAGGACGGAAAGTGCTGTGTTACGGAAAGCACCATTGCAAAGTGCAGCTTCTTGAAAGTAAGGCAACAAGCAGTGAAAGACCTCATAAATCTTACCCTACCTACAAGGAGAACACAGTTTATTCTTATCAGATGTAAGGAAATGCATATTCCATCACAATATAATCTCAGCGTAGACTTGTAGAAACTTTCTCGTTTAATCTTTTCTTTTATCTTCATTTCAAAATCAAAGTAGTTTCTTTCAACGGCTAGTATCCAAGGGGAAAGATCAGTAAGCTATCAACTGAGTGTTGAAGTAAAATACTTACCGTTCTGGTTGCCGAGAGAAAAGGCTTAGAGACAATATGCGGCTGAAAAGAACAGCCAAGTAATTGTGAGTTTTCAGTACAATTTTGTGGGGGGCTTGTGTGTGGTGTGATCAGGGCTAAGACGCAGCGCACTACTATCCCCCTGCCTCCGAGATGTCCAGCTGGTCTGACCAGATCCAGTTGTAAAAGCTGTGGCCCAAATTCTGCAACTCATTCCCAGAAGCTTTTGAGCTCTGTTTATATATTGAGATGGCTGATTAAAGAAGAGCATTTATTCTGAGTCACATTTAAGGCAGCAGTGATGAAATATGCATTTTTCTATACTTGATAAGAGCATGTTTGTTTATAATGGGCCTCGGTGAGATTTATGGACATCTTTAACTACTCATTGCCTTGTGTGAAGTGCCTGGAGTGTTGCAAATGGTGCAATAAGTGACTGCTAGAGCCAGTAAAGCCACCTCAACGGAATATATTTTTCCTCTGGTAAATGTCAATTCATCAAAGTCAACCTGGACAAAACTGTGGTTTAAAAAAAAAAGAAAATCCAGATGTTCTTTTTTTTTGCTAAACGGCATGTCCCAGTCATGGGGAGCCCACTCCGGCCGGGGAGCAGGGGAAGGCTGAGCTGCAGCCGGGCAGCGTGCCAGGGCACGTGCGGCTCCCCGTGCTGTTCCTGGGTGCCTGTGCGGTGCAGGGCTCTCCCCTCGCGAGCTGCGAGCCGTGAGTACGCAGCAACCACGGTGGGAATGCAGGGAGAGGAGGAACAATGCTGAAGCAAATGAATACCGCTCCGGGAAAATGGGATTTTTCTCCCCTCTTCTCTCCCTGAATTTCTGTGATGCTGGACAAATCACTTAACACAGAGTTCTCACAATCTCTCCTTAATTCCCTGTTCCTCACTTCCTGAATATCCAACTCGAAACCCTGAGGTGTGATTTGACAAAGCGCTAAGCGCCGAGCTGAAGTTAACGGGAGCTGTGCTTGGAGCACAGGCAGTCCTGCGGACGCTAATGCTGGGCACAAGAGTCGGGTCCTGGCCGCCTCCGGCCGGGCACCATGGCAGGGAAATACTCTCGCTGTCACACACTTGCTGAGAAGCGATAGATGTCCTCCCAGTGCCCCCTTGCCGGGGCTGTGATGCTCACGCTGACTGCTGGAGGCAACAACCAGCGGGCAGGACCCTAGCTGGGTTCTATCAGCCGGGGCTTCTTACTCCTCTCTGGACTTCTGTAGGCTGCAGATGATGGAGAAAGAGGGCTCATCTGATCCAAAATGTACCCAAGAGTGGAAAAGAAACCCCCTTCCCAGCCACAGGAAGGGTGTGTGGCTCACACCGTCTTTTTTCGGACTTGCTAACTAAGCACTGGTCTACTGCCCAGGCCATGCAACCACCAAGGAGCTCCACGGAAG